GTGAAATAAAAGACCTCCCTACCACCGATATTTGCTACTGGACGGGCTGCACTTAAGTTTCTCAGGGCAGTAGTTCTGTGAGAGCGGGAAAGGTGATACTCGTAAATCTGTGTAATTCATCATAACATTTCAATGTAATAGTGTCTTTACAAAATCTTACACTGTCCTACATTATTGTGTTCAACTGAAAAAACTTCTGAATTGCCCCCACAGTTCAGTGCTTGCTGCAGAACAGAGACTGAATTTTAAAATATATGATACACAAAATAAAGTTGGTGAGATCTGAATTAAATTTCTCTGGAACTGCAAGATCCTTTTCACAGTAAGGGGAAACTAAGCCCTGTCAGTTGAAAAATAAAGTGGATCCTTTTGCCATCTACTGGAGTTTTGCTGTAAATACAGCAGAAATTTAAATTATGGAGCTGAAAGCTATTTATCATAGCTCCTGACTTGTCAGCATTTATGGAAGCATGTGGCTAAAAGAGGAACAGAATATGTCACCACTCTGCATTTAGGTTTATAATTAGGACAAAACTGAGACCAAGCAAACGTCGTCTGCTTCGCAGAACAAATTTTACAGAAGCTTAAGGAAGATGGAAGCAATTTAATTGGGGTAGGCCATCGTGGGAAAGGACATAAGAAGACAGAGTATACAAACCACAAGACAGCAAGTAGATGCTATATTAAAAATAAGTCAGGTAATGCTCAGTCAGAAGAATTAAGCTATTGCCTTTGTGCTTTCCTTGTCCCAACGTGGACAAAGACTAGAGAGTGGGAGAGACCCAGATTCCCCTAGCAGTGTAGGGACTGGAAGAACAGAAAACTGAGATTCACCACACTGCTTCAGGCCCATCTCGGGGAACCTGAAGGCACTAGCTAGGAACTATTACTTGAGAAGTGATTTTGGGGGGTGAAGAGCCTTTTCAGGAAGGAAAAATGAATCAGTTGTCATGGGAGATGGAAAACCCCATGAGGGAATTGGTTACACTGTGTACACGTGGAAAATTTTTTTTTTGCAGTCATGGAATGATCTGGGCGTTAGAAGTTCTGCACAGTTGTCTTTCTCCTTTCACCTTTTTGTGTTCGCTCACAGGTCAGTCTGTCAGCTGGGAGCCAACAGACATGATTGTCCTGCTTGTCTCCTGCAATGTGAACATACTGTTGGTAACGCACTAGCGAAAATTAACAAGCATGGAAAAGGGGTAAGGCAAAAAGCAGAAATAGTAGGCCAAAGCATGAAAAGGAAAGAGGCTGGGGCAGACAGAACATGTAAGATAACTTCACAGAGGAGAAATTGTAGCGAGGAAGGGAAGTTCTGCAGGAGAGAAAGAATGGGAAAGAACTATAAAACAGGCTGACAAAGAAAGCTGAGAAATAAAATGAGGGAAACAAACAAAAATTAAAATAACATAAAAGAAATCATAAAACTATACAAGCGCTCCACCCCCCCAAAAAAAAAAAAAAAAGAAAAACTGGAAAGGACAGATAAAAGGAGAAATGAGACTTGGATGCCCATATACAGATCAGCTAAAAGCCAAATGCACTAATTTAAACAGTTTTGGAAGTAGAGAGCTGCAGAAATATTAAATAACAGATTTCCTTTTAAAACTGGGCTTTTCTGCATGTAGACAATAAACTTCAGACATTTGTTTCACCTTATAATTTTTATGCCAGCTTCCTCCTTTAAAAAGTCAGCTAGTCTTTCATTGGCGTTATCAGTAGATGGAGCACAGCCATTTTTAAAGGTGATGTCATGGGATTGTATTTACCAGTCTAAATCATAAATAATACACAATGCATTTCCTAAAAGGGGTTACTCACGAATGTCACTAAAATATTCTCCTGTTGTTTGCTTTCTTAACATGCTCAGTTTTTATCTAGGAAATGTAATAGAAATTAATACAGATAAAAATATTTATGTAACATCAACAGCGTGAATTGGCCCAGAAGAACTTTTTGTTTGATCTCATGTAACAGAATGGCTACAAATCAAGGGCTGCAGACAAAAGTTCAACAGTATTATATTATATTAGCTGAGAAGGTTGTGCTGATCACTAGCCAGCAAAACAGAAGGTCAGGGAGCGTCCACGCCTTTGAGAAACATGCGTCCAAGGTCTACACAGGGGCCTGAGCTAGCTCATGCTGACCTGGTGCTTTTTGTTAAGGAAATTCATAAAAGAAGAACTTTCTAATCACTGAGGTTCCTTTACCTGACAGCAGGGAGACAGAGGAGAAAGTGGGTTGACATATACTGAAAAAATATCAGAGAATTTAGTGACCAAACTTGGAGGATTCTGTACTTCCCTGCCAGGAGTACAGGGCCAGTTCTGTGAGAGCCATCAAAGGGTTTGAGTTACAAAGCATATTGTTTTCGGTCATTTGTTCCTGACTTTATTTAAATTCTCCTCCCTTTCCTTATTTTTCCCACATGAACTCAGCTTTGTGTATGTTCTAAGTAACTACTTGTTATGATCTTAGTTTTTGAGCTGGCACACAACTTTACAGGGATTAATTATTGTTCTCCTAAGCAGTTAGCATCCTTCCTCTGCTTCAGGATGGAAAAGAATAATTCAGAGCAAATTACAGATTTGTTTCTGATTGAACTTCCTGGTTGGGGCCAATTGTGGCCATTTGATGACATCTTTTTTCTTTCCATGCTCAGTTGGATACTTAAAATTCCCTACATCTGCTCCATGCCATTGCTGTGAATGACAGACATGCATACTACCATTCCCTAACTAAATTACTAGTAGCATTACAGTTACAGAAACAGTTATCTCTTTGAGCTCTTTATTGTGATTAGTATTATTTCCTTATCTCTAGCTAGCATTAACCTGTACTGTTGTGATGTGGGATCTGCAGGTAATGTAACCTTGCAGTTTATGGCGCACTGCTGAATTCCTTTGGCATCCATGCAAGCACAGAACAAAAACTCAAGGTCTTAGATTTGGGGAACACTGGAAGGCAGGGATTAGTTTTTCTCTAGTGTTCCATAGAGTGCCTAAACAACGTTGATAAAAAAGCCAAAATAAGAGCAATTGATATTTGATCCTCTGTTATACATTCTACTGTGATCTAAAACGGACCATAATATGTGTGCAACTGTCTCAGAATTTTTTACATTTTATAATTCTTTGCCCTATAATTTCTGCAAGTAATTCTTGCATGTGAGCACTGTATTGCACATTTTCAGCTTTGCTGATTAGCTCTCCTGGAGTATATAGGTTGTTATGTGCATGTGCTCCCAGTTATATTGACATACTTCTCAGACTTCAGTGATAATACTCCTAATTTCTACATTATTTTATATTTTTATATCGCAATTATTGCTTACATTACACTGTTGTAGTAAACGTGCCTACTAATATATATATTTCTGAGAATATTTTCAGAATCCTAATTCAAAGAAGATGCGTGCAACCAGCAAAAATCTCACAAGGAAATTTTGATTCACTCAGCTCTACCAATTGTGGAGGTAGCTCTCTCATTTTTCATTCTGCACAGTTCCTTATTTCAAAATATAGAGCAAAGAACAACAGCAACATTCTTCACATCTTTTATCTGACAAGTGCTTTACAAACCCAATTAATTAAGCCTGAGAAAATGTCCGGGTGTTCTTAGACTCACCATGTATCTATTTGAATAGATCATTTTGAATTCTGACTTGGCTGGCTCTCTGGCAAAACTCTGATACATTTTTCCCATAATTAAATGTTATTTTACTGCATAACTGCAGAAGCAAATGTGGGGAATTTCTTTTATTGGTTATTACCACCATCTCTTTATGACTGAACAGTGACTACTTTGTGAAGTCATTTACTTTCCCGTCCCTGCTCAATGTGTGCAGTCTATTGAGGCACAGGAGCACTTCAGGCTGGCACACATTTCCTCTATTTCTAACAGGGTATTTAGTTAGCAGTTTGATTTTCACATGATTAGCAAGATTCTTACTGAGAAGCCACACTCTTGCCATTTACAGTTTAAGCCAGATAGCATAACAAAATAGTCCCTTTTTGCTCTGACGCCCATTAACTTTATTGAGATGTTTCTATCCATCTTAGATTATTCATTAGCAAACAGATACGCCGTAACACACAAAGCAGCTCTATTTTTGGGGGTGCTGATATTCAATTTTGAAAGTGAAATGGACACTAACCACTAATTCCTCTTTGCGTGCTTCTTTGGTAGTGTGATTGCTGCTGGAGAATCCCCCCAAATCCTCAGCAGATCATTAGCACGTGGCCTTCTGACCCCCAGTGCATACCATATGAACTACATTATATTGCCTCTGCTGCAGCACACAGTCTGTGATTTACAATACAGTATCATTTATTAGGTCTTATAGTCTCAACTAACAAGAAGTTCAGAAATAGCATAGCTTGGATTTAAAGCTGTTGGAGGGTTGCAATTATGTGTGGTATAAGCTGTTCCTTCAACAAATGAACACAAGTCCAAACATCAATCTTTGAAATTCAATCATTATTTAGACCATTGCTTGTTGACTTCTTTTGCCTTAAAATTTGTTTGCAAAAAAGAGGAAGTGTGCTCTAAAGAATGTATCAGCTTTACTCAATAAAAATTGAATGATACAAGTTGTTTTGTAGTAGGATGGTATTTTGTAGCTGGCATTATAATGCAATGAAAGTTTGCTACTTGGCAGAGCCATATGTGAACACATGAGCAATGCTTACATGAGCTATAAATAGCATCCCTTAATCCTTGCATTGATCTTCATGTGCTTGCTTAAGGTTCACTTATCTATATTTATATAGATTAATGTCATTTATTTGATTTAAAATAAAATCAGCTATGCCTCAATATAATGTTAAGCCCTACAATTTGTTATGATTTAGCAGACAGATATTCAAGATAATTGCTGTCTCCAGGGCTAAAAGTAGACACACAGACTTAGTGGCCAGTTAGTCTCCTATTTTGAAGCTGACCATTAGTAAATACGAATTTTTATGTCCTCGACTGCATTCTTTTGCTGGCATACTTACCAATGCTTTCTTTGTGCTGACATCAAGACAGAACTGCTGCCATTTAGGAGACTGGAAAGAAGAGAAACATCTTCCGTATTAGAAATGCTGATTATTTACCTAGCAATGGTCTGATCAAAAAGCTGACAAACATGAGCCCAGGCATATTGCTTGCGAGTAGAGTACTGCCAATCAAGTTGCCACACATGTGCATCAGGTTTGTTGCTGAGGACAGGTTTCCCAGTGAGGAATCTGTTATGTGGCGTGAGGCTGATACCGATGACTTGAGAAAGAGTTGGCCTACCTATTTAAAAGTGACCATTTAGGCAGAAATGCCTTTTGTTTCTAGCACAGGAATGTTATAGCATGGTGCAGGATCATTGTTTTTGACACTATGCTGCTGAAGAGACTGTCTTGCAGGTGAAATATAAGACCTAGGAATCACATATTGTCAATAAATATGATCTTGTGGCACTTCCTGCATGGGAGAGAGTCTTAATTTTCATGTTATGGTAACTCCACTTTGCTTTCCTAAACTTCTCTGCAGTTTGTAGGATATATTTATTTTTCAGTCTTATACCAATGTCTAATATTGCTAAACAGTCAAATAGTTCTACAAGTGATAGCATCCATATGCCGCATGAAGATGTAACTATTTATAAAATGCAGTAAAAAAGAAAAAAAAAAGCTTTTACAACGTTAAGCAATGGATATAATTGAATATGTGACAGGAAGCCCAAAGGTTACATTTATTCTGGTGATAGCAGCTTATCAACACTGCTTTCACATAACACTTCACTTAGTAATTACATTGTTAAATACACTCTATACCTACACCTACCTTAATTTTTATATTGGTGTTCTGGTACATGTGAAGAGAGGGTGGTGTTATGTATAGTCAAAGTCTAAGTTCTTCCCCCTTGTTCCCCCACAAGATCACTTAAGGCTTGGAAGAAATGCATGTGAGGTTTTTTTTTGAGGACTCTTGCTTTTGAACTTTGGGTGCTGTTTGATCAGTAAGCTAGTTTGCTGTTCGACTTCGACTATTTGATATAAAGCCAAATGTTGATCTATTTCGCTGTTGGGAAGTTGGTCAGTGGTTTTGGGCCATGGTATCTGAAAAAGTTTTCCCCATTTGAATTGGTGTCTATTATACAAAAAAGGTCACGCTACAATGTACCCAGACTCCAAGTCACACATTTCTTCTTTGCTGAAAAGCTAACATGCGAGGTTCCCCACCTTTCTGCTTGACAGAGGAGTGATACTGTGTTTACAACACTGCTGTTGGAGGAAAAGGTCAGTTTGGTGGCTTTGAGGTCCAGACACAAGAATGCTGGGGATGTTATTTTCTCTACCAAGACCAAAACAGAAGCCTTTGGCATCATTTTGGCATAGAGAGGCAAAGTTGGAATTCGAAGGACCAGTAGCTAATAGAAATGAAGATTTCTATAATAGAAAGGGTAAAATACCAAGATCCACACGTTCCACACCATCATTAATGGACGTGGGGGCCTCCTCTGTCAGGACATGGAAGGGAACGATGGAGCTAGAAGGCTCACTAGTGCTTCTTTTACAAGGTGAGAGATGAAAACGCATGGAAAACATGCACCCTTTTGCAAAAACATTTTTGACTGGCCTTGCGGTTCTTTGGGCTGCTCTAAGTCCATTTCAGGGGTCTTCTCTGCTACTTAACGTTCATAATTATTTTTTTTTTTAAATCACCCATTGATAGAACTCAATGCAATAGACTCAAGCAATGAGCCACCCTACAGGTTAGTTGCTATTTGTCTACTGCACCATATGCCTTGACAGTTCCTACTCAAAAGCTGGAATATGACTTGATTAACAAGTATGGTACAAATCGGTGCTGCAATACGCTGTCAGAACAGTAAGGGAGAAGTCTTCCATACAGCAATTAACATTATGGACTCAGGAACTACGAGGTGAAGTTTGAGACTTGAACCTTAAGACTGCACTGTGGCAGCTGCACACATATGAGCAGCCTATACATTTGAAAGCCTGAGAAATAAACCGGCTGTGCATTGAAAGGTAGGCATTTGGAGGTGATAAATTTAGCCCTGACTCATCCAATGGCAATTTTGACACTCGGGTGAACAAAATTACTTTTAGAAGTTGCATCATGTTTTTACCAGATAGTTTGATTGAGCATGGTTTAACCCATTCACGTACCGATGGCCAGACTCCAGACCTTTCTCTCTCATTTGAGAGAGCTATGCAAGAACTTATTTCTACAGGAACATAGATACATCCTGGGCCATCAAGTGCCTTTCTTCACATGCAGTCACATCAATTAATCCATTTCTTAAACTGATCAAATGACATCTTAAAGCTGGACTGCTTTCTTAATTCACCTCTCTTTTTGGAAAGGAATGGGAAGACCCTTTACTGCTGGTACCTAAAAACCTGTTTCCAAAAACTAGTGAGACTTTCTTCACAGCTTTGTCCTTTAAACAGTTCTTTCCTCTTCCTGGTGTTAACTCCTCAACTATTTAATAAGCACTCATATGCCAAGCACTTCAGCCTCTTCTTGATGGACAGGTGCCCATTTCCTCAGCCACCTTAGCAGTCCTCCTCTGCATCACTGCGGGGTGAATCCTGCCTGAGGGACCTGTGCTGTGCACATCTCTGCAGATGAGCACTTCCACAAAGGCATTAATACTGCCAGACCTCTACCAGAAGAAGTTCATCTGACATGCGAGGAGTGCATTCGCTATTTTTTCCAAGGCAACACCAGATGATCAAAGAAATCATTCGCTCCTACAAGAGTCCTGAATGTACATGTTCAATAACTTCAAGGAATAATGGTTTTCATTCCTATTTGCCTCGCACACAATGACTCAGTCCATCTTTATTTGCTTAGTGTTGATACTAACAAATAAAACCAGAGTACTGAGCCAGGAAATATGCTGATGGATGAAGTCAGACATATTCCTATTTTTTGTTAACTTTTCCACATTTAAATAGGAAGGGTGAGTTTATCATTAAAACATTTTTACAAACGTTAATGGCCTTGTTCTTTGCAATGCAACTAAATTCTCATGCCAGAGAAATGCATAACCTTTTTCTGATGGGTTTATTAGAGGAACCCTGCACCGGTCAGATCAGGTGAAC